ACTTTAACACATGTATTATTTCTAGACTCTTGGCTTCAATTATGCAATTATCACTTTTTTTTTTCTAATTACCACATTTTGAGAGCAACAATGATCTCAAATAGAGGGTATCATCTTCCAGTATCTGTCTGTAAACTTCATTCACAGTACTTATCACTTCTGTCCCAGCATATCACAAGCATTGGACTGCTAACCACAAGGTCAGTGATTCAAACCCACCAGCTGCTCCTTGGAAACCCTATCCAGGTTTGCTATGAGTTGGATCCAACTCAATGGTACTTAACAACATCACTTTTGTAATTACCTCTGTACTTTTCTATTCCCTTACAGTATGCCATCCCCAAAACGATGAGATTTTTGAGAGAAAGAATTCTTTCAACCAATCTCTAATACCTACCAGTATCTGAACCATTGTTGAAACTCAATAAAGGTTTCCTCAAATGAATGTTTGAACTTCTTACTCAGTGCTTCTCCAGAGTAAGCATTTGGAACAAAGTGTTAAGCATTATATGAAAATTTACTTAATCTTTCTACCCAGAAAAATTTTACTCTCAATAAAGTAAGATCAAAGATCAGAATGCACTGTCTTTTGCTATGTGAGTTCCCCTTCACTGGCAATGTTTAAACAAAGACTCTATGGCAACCTTATCAGGGCACTTGATGAATGCTTAGACTAAACAACAACAAAAGTCTCTTGCCTATGATGCATCCGACTCATAATAACCCTACAGGACAGGAGTAGAACTGACCCATAGGGTTTTCAAGGCTGTAAATCTTTTCAGAAGCTGAATGCCTTTCTTCTCTGGAGTCACTGATGGTTTGAACCATTAACCTTTTGGTTAGCAGCCTATTGCTTAGCCACTGGGCCACCAGGGATCTTTTAAGCTTGCATGAGAAGACTAAAAAAATTCTTTCTAACTCTAAAAGTCTTAACTGTACAGTTAGTTTTAATATCTCTCTAATTCAGTTTCTCCGGGACACTGGAGGAGATAACCCCAAAATCAACTGATGTCCCTATCTTGGAAATTAGTGTTCAGTGAACATATGAAGATTCTGTTGATACCTGTAAGGGAGAGTGGTAAATAGATAAGGCGTGCCGTGAGAGCAGCCAAAGCGAGTTTTTTATTTCACAAATAAATTTCGTGAGGTCCAGGAACGGAAAGGAGAGGGAAAAAAACAAAACAAAAACCAGTTACTATTCATGCATGCAGAGTTCAGTTCCAGGCATTTCAAACACAACAGTAGCACAAAAAAGGTGTCTCCTTTGGGACTCAAAGTCGGACCTACGATGGGTGGGTGAGTGTCAATCCGGAGACAGCCCAGGCGCCGCCCCCTCTTAAGAAAACATCTTAGAAAGAGCTCCCAACTGAGCTCTCCACCTCACGGCTAGCCATGGGCCAAGTCTCCACAGCCAGTTAAACACTTTCACATTCTAACACGCAATCCGCGACCGCCCGCAGACGCGACCCCCGCCCCGCATCCTGGAAGTCCGTCACTTCGCCTAGTCCTCGCTTCCACCTGCCTCTTCCCGCCCCACAGCACAAACCCAGTACCCTCACCAGCCGGCCCGATCCCGCGGAAACGCTGCTTCAACACCACCGGAAGTCATCCAACGGCAGCGACTGACGTGCGCGCTCCCGAGTCGGGAGCGTGGAGTCTCAGGCAGTCAAGAACCATGCGCCAAAAGCTAGGGGCCATCCTATTTTAGGGCCGACTGAAGCCATATTGGCTGTACGTCACTGTGGGCAAAAGTTTTTAAAGTAACACTCTCTCTCCGCCTGTCGCAATGCTATTCAAAACACAACTAAGGTCTGAGATTCAGTGATTTACTTTCACAACTAATCATGCTCACTGCAAGATACCTCGAATATAGGACCAAGTAAATGGAAAATTTATAGAAATTCTGGAAGAAGAATCCCTTTGCGCTTGAAGTTTTGGACTTAGTCCATAATATTTATATGTGCCTTGGAAACTCTATTGGGAAGTTCTACTTGTTTTTATTGACTCAATAAGCGTTCTACCCTGTCCTTTAGGGTCAGTATGAGTCAAAGGGTACTGGATTTGGTATTTTGCTATGTTGTTGTTGTTGTTAGGTGCCATCGAGTCAGTACCGACCCATAGCGACCTTATGCACAGCCGACCGAAACACTGTCCGATCCTGGGCCAACCTCACTACTGTTGCCACGCTTGAGCCCATTGATGCTGACACTTGGCCAATCCATCTCGTTGGGGGTCTTTTTTTTCTCTGACCCTCCACCTTAACAAACGTGATATCCTTCTCCAGTGACTGGCCCCTCCTGACAATATGCCCGAAGTATGAGAGATGAAGTTTGGCCATCTTGGCCTCCAAGGAACATTCTGGCTGCACGTCTTCCAAAACTGATCTATTGGTTCTTGGAAGCCCATGGCACTTTCAATATTCTCCTCCAACACCATAACTCAAAAGCATCAATTCTCCTACGGTCTTCCTTATTCACTGTCCATCTTTCGCATCCATATGAGGTTATTGAAAATACCATGGCTTGGGTCAGGCGCACCTTAGTCCTCAAGCTGACATCTCTGCTCTTCAACACTTTAAAAAGGTCCTGTGCAGCAGAATTGCCCAATGCAATACGTCGTCTGATCTCTTGACTGCTGCTTCCACGAGTGCTGATAGTTGATCCAAGAAGTATCAAGTCCTTGACAACTTCAGTCTTTTCTCCGTTGATAAGAATACTGTTTATTGGTCCAGTGGTGAGATTTTTTTTTCTTTACATTGAGATGTAATCCATGCCTAAAGGCTGCGCTCTTTCATCTTCATCAGTAAATGTTTTAAGTCCTCTTCATTTTCAGCAAGCAAGGTTGTATCATCTGCAAATCGCAGTTTGTTAATATGAGTCTTCCTCCAACCCTGATGCCACATTTTTCTTCATAGAACCCAGATTCTCGGATTATTTGCTCAGCATACAGGTTGAAAAGTATGGTGAAAGAATACAATTTTGTCGCGCACCTTTTAAAAGTTTAAACCATTCAGTGTTCCCATGTTCTGTTCAAACAACTGCCTCTTGGTCCAGGTACAGATTCCTCATGAGCACAATTAAGTGTTCCGGAATACTCATACTTTGCAATGTTGTCCATAGTTTGTCATTTTGCTATAGCACTCTGCATTTTACAGAATGCTTTCACTTATAATCATGTTGTTGTAGTTGCTCCTTGCCATTGAGTTGTTCAGACTCATAGCGAGACTATGTAGGTTTCCAAGGGGCGGCTGGGGGGTTTGAACCACAACCTTGAAGTTCAAATAGACCGGTGCATTATCCGCAGGGCTATGAATCGATTCTGACTCATAACGACCTATATAGGGTTACCAAGGAGCGACTGTGTTTGAACTGCCAACCTTGAGGTTCAAACCAACCTTGCATTCCAGCGCCATTAACCCTCAGCACCACACCAGGAGTCAGGATATGCGTGATTCAGGTTAGAGTTAGATTATCTCAATGATAATATCAATGCCACCTTTCATTTTGACTGTGGACTATCATTCTTTCAAATTCTGTTTATAGAAAGGATCGTTCAAATTATTTAACGTGTAAATAGTTGTTGGTGCTTCAGATAAGTAGTGGTGGTAGTTATGTGCCTTGCCGACTCATAGTGACCCTGCATAGGGTTTCCGAGGCTGTAAATCTTTACAGGAGCAGAAAGCCTCATCTTTCCCCGGCAGAACACTTGTAGGTTTGACTTTGAGATTAAGCTCCTTTAAAGGCGAGTGTTGTTGTTGTTGTTATGTGCCTTGAGTCGGTTTCGACTCATAGTGACCCTGTACAGGGTTTCCGAGGCTGTAAATCTTTACGGGAGCAAAAAGCCTCATCTTTCTCCCGCGGAACAGCTGGTGCTGTTATCAATCTGATTCGTAATCAGTATGTTACCAGAGCTCCTTTAAACGCTAGTAGTCTGACTCTAATCTGAATCACACCCATTGTCCAAACCCAAATCAAGTCTATTCTGGCTCATAGTGATCCCCTTATAGCACGAGGTAGAAGGAGTCCAGGTGTGGCGCTATGGGTTAATTCGCTGAACTTCAAGGTCGGCGGTTCAAGCTCACTATCCGCTCCTCAGAAGCCCTACACAGTGTCGCTATAAATTGAAACGGACTCAATGGCATTTAACAGTCTTTAACAACAATAACAATCTTTCCAGAGGCATACTCTCTTTCTTCCCAGATTAGCTGGTGGGTTTAAATCACCGACCTTTTGGTTAGCAGCACCAACACTGTATCACTGTGCTACCAGGGATCCTAAGGAAGTCTCTAAAAGTTTCTTTGTGTTCTACTTCTGAATTTACAGAATACACATTTCCGTTTGCTCACTGGCTCACACTCCTGTTCTAGCCTTCTCCTACTCCTTATCCCCACCACCCTCTCTCTTAGCAGCCCTAAGTACTTGAGGCTCATGGGAAAGAAATATCAAACATTCTTCCTTAGTTTTGTTGTTTAAAACACAAAAGACCCACAAAATCCCTCCAATACATGACTTTTAGTAAATCATCAGAGTTGTGCAATCAACATCAGGTTTAGTTTTAAAATCAAAGCTTCTGGAGTTTAAGAAAATGTCCATAATAACCAGTGGTCTCAGAAATATATAACAATAATTGCAATTGATACTTTCTTCTCAGAATATTCTGCTGGTATATAAATCCCAAGGAACTAAAATCACAAGATCGATAGGATCTCATATGAAAACCTAAATAAAGTCCTTATTCCAGCCTCCACAATTTTCCCTTACAGTGCCTCAGTCTGTCAATGGCTGGGGCTTCATTTTCGGACTGTGGGAGGGGCTCCCTTCCTGAGAGCTTCCGGAAAGAGGCGTGGTCAGTCTTCCGGAACTATTCGGACAGAGGTGGAGTCTTCTGCAGAGGGCTGTTCGGAAGAAGGCGGAGCCTACCTCGCATCAGGACCAGTCTGGCTGCACCTGCATCCTTAGCTCAGAGCATCCCTGGAGCATCTTAAGAGACGACCTCAGCTGGCAACCAGGGACCAGACCGTCGCAAGAGGCACCCGCCAGATACCTTCCCCCTCCCCTGATCTAGCCCTCTACTACAGCAGCCCCTGAACTGGCCGGGGGATCCCAGAGTTGCCTGACGACTGCAAAAACATTTATAGAAACAGCCTCTGATTACGACATGGCTGAGATCACCAATATCCGACCTAGTTTTGGTAAGTAGAGTCGGACAAACTAACTCTGGGCTAGTCGGAGCCATTACAAAGCTGATGGGGCGCAGTGCCTGGGCAGTTAGTGAAGCTCAGAGTAGGGCCTACAAGTGCCAGCTCAGCTGGAATCAGGCCTGTGGTGGTTGGCAGGGCCAGTGGACAGCGCCTAGACTTGAGCTATGAGCTGCAGGGGCTGGCAAGGCCAGAGCCACACCAGGGGGTGGGGTAGTTCAAGATGTTAAAACCTTGTATGGTGCACTGTCAGCACTGCAGAAGGTGAGAAATAGTGAACTTGCGGAGGTTGTGAACCCCTCCCTCTGGGGGAGGAGAGGTGGGGTAGGCCGATCCCTCCCCCTTGGGGCATGTAGGGCGGTGCCCCTTCCCCCTCCCACCTTTCAGGGTTGCGGGGGAGGGAAGTGGCAAGGGGGATGGGGTATCAAGATGGCAGCTTGGAGACTGTGGGATGTGTGGCTGGCAGCCAGGGGAGGCTGCCGTTGAGGAGTGAGGGGCGTGCGGGGGAGATGAGCAAAAGGAAGCCACTCCTTAAACCGGTCAGTTGGATGCTGGGGCTGGAAGGAAATGTGAGCCCTGCAAACTCCGTTCTGCATCGTAATGGTGGGGTCCGTCCTATGCTACCAAATGGCGCTTGGCACTGCTGGGCTAGGGGAATGACGTGATGTCTATTTCTGGGCCTCCTGGCAGTGTCTCGGCTCTCCTTCCAGGGCCTTTGTTCCAGGTTTCCCTGGGGCTGGCTTTTCAAAAAAGGGGACTCACCCGCGCTAGTGCTGGCGGGGGGTCCGATCCAGTTTAGAGGGGGAGGGGCGAGAGGCTGAGCCTGAAGGAGGCTGCTTTGTGTATCAGAGAAAGCATTACGTCATCTCGGAACGGCTGGTCCCAGACCCAGCCTTGTGGGTTCCAAGATCAGTTACACTCCCTGGGGCAGAGAGTGGAGTAGAAATTAAGAAGGTGAGAAAGAAAAGCGTGAAAAGCAAGTTTTTCCCTCTTTGGAGCAAGCCTACAAAAAACGTGATAGAGGAGCAATCAACTTCCTGTACTACACTTTCGTGATCAAAAATTAAAATAAAATAAAATTACTCTGCTTCTCCCTTCAAGTCTAGTTAAGATGGGGCAAACCAATGAAAATTGCTGCCAGTCTGGGGTTTCTTCATATCCTTTCAGGGATTCTAAACCTCAGACAAAGCTTGAGCATACAGACTCAAATATATAGGGTGGGACACAATCCAGATGGGTAATGGCTTTTCTCACTCCCTAGTCAGATATATGTGGAAATGAGCAGAACAATGTACTGTATCCCCTCAATATCAGCAAGAAGACCTCAGATAGGGGAAGTGTCCAGATAACAGATCTTGATTAGCAACTTTTTCCCTCTTCAAAGCTAAATTCTAACTGTATTTCATTTTTTCAAATCACTGTCTGCTTCTCTACTCATGAAGCCCCAAATTTCCAAAATAGAAACCCCATGAGTACCCCCATGCTTTTCTTCTTGCTGTTTCTTTTTCTTTTTATGCCTTCTTTCAACAAATTATTTTCTTTAATTGCAGCTCCAGATTTCTTGGAAAAGTACATGATGTGGAGCATGATATAGTGATTTCTTTTAGAGGAAATACTAGTGAAAGAGGGAAAATAAATTATATCAGCCTTACATGCTGTATTTTATTTAATCCTTACAAATACCTTCTTGTGTCATTTGTATTATAATATATAATGACATATATATATATTAGCCATGGTGTGGCACTGAAGAACAAGCACTGTACTGCTAACCTTTCAGTTAGCAATTCAAACCCACCAGCAACTCTTGAAAACCCTACACAGAGTTGCTATGAGTTGGGATTGACTTGGTATCACTAACACAATAATGTATTTGCCAGATGAAGAAACAGGGAGATAAATTAACTTGCCTAAAGTCAAGCAATATAGTAAGAATTTGAACAGTGTCTGGTTGATGCCAAACTTTGTACTTTGGTGTCACAATGGCCTGCTTGACAGTTTAGGAAAGTTTAAGAAAGGAAGTGTCAATACATTAGTCTGGTTAAATAAAGGCTGAGAGAGTTACGTATAGCCCAGATTTATGTTGTGGGTCTCTGAACCCTTATAGATGGTCTCCTGTATAAAGAACTGTTGCTCTTGACTTTTTCATGTACTTCATTGTAGCTATCAAACACTGTGAAGTGTCAGAGATACACCAAGCCAACACTCAATTATCCATGACCTTGCAGGACAAAAGGAGCAAAGATCACAAATCCCTATAATTTATAGCTATTTTTAAGTACTCACTTCAGCAATTAGTTCCAATTTCCTTTTCCCACCAAGTTTTTCATAAAGCAAGACAGAGAGCTCTGAGTTCAACATCTCTTATTTCACTAGTTCACTGCATTAGGTGTGGGAGATAAAGGCAATACTAAAATGAAATGAGAAATGAGGGGAAGAATTTAAGATAATCCAGAAATGAGTTCATCTGCTTTTCTTCTTTTCCTTCTGTCTTCCTGAGAGATGAGAATCCTTCGTCTTCTTTCTTACTCACCCCACCTCCATTTTGTAACAATAAAAGATGCATTAAAAATAGCATTGGTTCGCTCAAGATCATTGAGTAAAACTATAATAGCGCTAAAAGGGTGGCCCACATATCTTCCTTCCTAGGCCTTTAGATATTCCTTCCAAATCATTCTAAGAAACATCTGTCTTAGTATTTTCATGCTTTCTTCTTCTCATAGTGACAGTGTTCATTTTTCTCCAATCATTAGCAAGCAACATGCAAGAAAGTCCCTGTATGGTAAATGGCGAGCCACTTTTTCAGAGTATGCCTATTCTGATTGACAATTGAATCTAATCAGTTGTTCAAACAAATATTTATTGAGTTCCCATTAAATACAAGAGACTCTGAGAGATTTCAGATAAAGAGGATGCAGTTCTTACCCTACTCTCAAGGAGTTTGCCCTCAGGACCAGGCCTGTCTCCATGTTGTGAAATCAATATCTGCTAGCTCTGATTTCATTTTATTCTCTGAAGACTAAACAATATTTACTCAATTTGACCATGGGCAAGTTCACCTTGATTGTTGTTGTTAAGTCCATCAAGTTGGTTCCAACTCATAGCAACCCTGCAGAGAGTTTCGGAAGAGTGGCTGGTGGGTTTGAACTACCAACTTCAGTTATCTATCTTATTGTATAATGTATCCCCTTCTTTTCTTGCACAGTTCCAGCTTTCATAGAAGCATGGAATATTTGAGGTAGAAAGAATTGCAGAGATCATCTAGTCCAATCCTCATGGGAGAAATATCTTTCAGAATATGTCTAATCAATAATAATACAACCTATTAGAAACTATTTTAGTTGGTGAATCTCTGCTTTGTGAGCAACCTGGATCATAGTGAGACAATTCTAATAATAATTTCCCTTCTTTCATTCAGTCAAAATCTGTCTCCCTGGAGCCTGTATGTTTTAGTGCTGGTCCTGCCCTCCAAAGTAAGATAAAATCGAATCCACTTCCATCAAAATGCCTTAATTAATTGAAGACAGTTGTTATTATTCTTAGACCCTCATCCCCAGCTCCAAATCCTTCAGTGTATCCTTATTTGATGTGGTTTCCAGGTCTTATTTACTATACTTAGTCTACATTATCCATAATGTAGAGGATGAACCCTGGTGTCAGGCAGATGAGGTTTAAATCCCATCACTTTCATTTGCTAATATGTGACCTTAAGCAGATATCTGAGTCCCTAGTTCCCTTAATTATAAAGGGATGATATTAATGGTACCTTTCGAATGAGTTACTTAATCCATAGAAAGAAAGTTCTAACATGATGCCTGGAATGAACATAGTAAATGTACACACACACACTTTATTATTACCAGTGCTAGACAAAACATTCCCTATGTGTTGTGACATGTGCAAATGAAATTATATCTACCTCTACTGTGATCTGGAGATTGTGCTCAGAGTACGAGGTGGCATTAGCCTAATTATAGTCCAAGCTTGTGGCCTCTTAAACTATGAAGTCATTTTTGCACAAACTGTTGTCAAGTGATGTCTACCATTGCCTATAGATGGATTTCTATGCCCAAATAAGATTTTACATTTATCCCCATTATATGTAATCATATTAACCTCATCATCTTTTTCTAATGTGTGAAGTCTGTTTAGAATTTACTAACTCATTTGTGCTGCTTAATATATGCCACATGGTTCTAGGACCTGGGGATATAGCCATGAACAAACAAATCAGACAAAATCTCAATTCTTATAATGATTACCTAATGAGAGAAGACAGACAAATAAATAAGGTCAGAGGTGACTACAACATAATGAAAAATTAAACCAGGTGGTAGGGATATTATCTCAGTTGGGGCAGAGAGATCAACTCAGATTACTTATGGTGACTATTTTTTTTGGATTTCAAAGGGATCATCTTGACAGATTTTCTTAAAGGACACAGGATAGTCATGGGGACTTATTATGAAGGTTTAAGAAAATGAAAAACTGCATTTGTGAGGAAAAGGCCAAAAAAGTGTGCCAAGGAATTTTTTCCCCATCATGACAATGCACCTGCTCATTCTTCAAGTGTAACAAGTGCTGTCCTATGAGAATTTCATTGGGAAATGTTACTGCATCCATCCTCCAGCCGTGGTCTTGCCCCTTCAAACTGTTTTTGTTGTTGTTCTCCAAACTCAAAAATCACTGAAAAAGAACACTATTTGAATTCCCCGAGGATACCCAAATTGTCATTTCCCGTGGTATAAATAGAAGAGCACAGAATTCTTCAGGTGAAGGGTTAGATAGATGGAAACACCACCTTCATAAATGCATAGGCCTAGATGAAGGACATGTCAAGAAACAAAAGCTTCACATTTTGATATGTTTGTTTAATAAAGGTTTCTTTGATTTTTGTAGCAATACTTTTAGATCAATCCTCAAGTGTGTAGGTGTGTGTGTGTATATATATATATATATATTTTGTTGTTATGTGCCGTGGAGTCGGTTCCAACTCATAGGGACCCTACATAGGGTTTCCTAGGCTGTAAATCTTTAAGGGAACAGAAAGCCTCATCTTTCTCCTGTGGAACAGCTGGTAGTTTTGAACTGCTGACCCTGAGATTAGCAGCCCTATTTGTAACCACTATGCTACCAGATATATATATATATCATATGGTGATAAGGCATATATAAATAGAGCTAGGAAGTGTGAGTGACAAGGATATAAAACGTTACACTTGTAAATAGGGTGGTCCTTACTGACATTTAAGTATAGATCTGACATTTTTTACCCCCTCTATTTCTTCCTATTCAAAATACTTACATTTTAAATACCTGGAAGCTGACAAAAAATTTTGAATTATATTTTTTAAGTATGTAAACCTGGAGTTCTTCTAGTTACCATGTACCCACTTTTACCAACTATATCTAAGCTCATCTCCACATTCCTCTGTTTCACTTTGCCAGTCACTACTACTAGCTTACTATTTGCAAATTCTATACTAGATACTGTAGAATATCCTCCTAAAGCCAAAGACATCTCTTGCCCTTGTGTAACAGTTGAGATGAACAGGCACCAATATACATAGGTGACCTTAGAACACTTACAGAGAAGCTTTATACGAAACACAAACCAATATAAGCCAACCAAGTCCATAAATGCTGAGGGAATGTTAAGAAAAGAACAGTGAGTCCGGTGGGACAACTCAGGAGAGATTTTCTGAAGATAGCCAGGTTTGGTGGGAAGGAAGAACCAAGGGAGAGGTGCTTTGGCTGGCGTGGTGTAGACTGCAGATAAGTTTAGCTCTTGCGTGGGTATTGAGCAGGGGAGTTTGGGTCAGGGATTGGGATCTACTTGCCTTGATGCATATCTGGTCTCCACCCTCAGATGTGTCACCTGTGGTGGCTGGCCTTATTGGGGCCTCAGTGCTGGTGGTGTGTGTCTCGGTGACCGTCTTTGTCTGGACTTGCTGCCACCAGCAGGCAGAGAAGAAGCACAAGACCCCACCCTACAAATTCATTCACATGCTCAAAGGCATCAGCATATACCCAGAGACCCTCAGCAACAAGAAAAAAATCATCAAAGTGCGGAGAGACAAAGATGGCCCTGGGAGGGAAGGTGGACGTGGGAACCTGTTGGTGGACGCAGCAGAGGCAGGCCTGCTAGGCCGAGACAAGGGTCTCAGGGGCCCTAACTCTGGATCTTGTATAGACCAATTGCCCATTAAAGTAGACTATGGGGAAGAACTGAGGAGCCCTGCTGTGAGCCTGACTCCTGGAGAAAGTAAAACCACTTCTCCATCATCTCCAGAGGAGGATGTCATGCTAGGATCCCTCACCTTCTCAGTGGACTATAACTTCCCGAAAAAAGCTCTGGTAGTGACAATCCAAGAGGCCCATGGACTGCCAGTGATGGATGACCAGACCCAGGGCTCTGACCCCTATATCAAAATGACCATTCTTCCTGACAAGCGACATCGGGTGAAGACCAGAGTGCTGCGGAAGACCCTGGACCCCGTGTTTGATGAGACCTTCACCTTCTATGGCATCCCATACAGCCAGCTGCAGGACCTGGTGCTGCACTTCCTCGTCCTCAGTTTTGACCGCTTCTCCAGGGATGATGTCATTGGGGAGGTGATGGTGCCATTGGCTGGGGTAGACCCTAGCACAGGCAAGGTACAGCTGACCAGGGACATCATCAAGAGGAACATCCAGGTGAGGAGAAAGACTGTGTTGTGGAGGGGTGGCAGGTTGGGGGTGTCAATATCTTGAGGGAGGAAATGGAAGGGGAAATGGGGTGAGATGAATAGCAAAAATGGACTATAGAGAGGAAGCTCTTGGCTATTGAGGATAAACAGTAGTCAGAGTAAGATGGAGGACCCATGTGAGGTCTCTCCCACTTCTTGAGAAGAGAGCAGCACCTGAAATTTTACTTATCGATCAGTATCCTGTGGTTGTGTCCATCTTGCTTAGGCAGGCTGGCCCACCACTCACAGACCTTCCTTCATACCAGGGATATAAGAGTTAATTTTCTCTCAAGTGATGTATGATCTGCCTTCAGTAAACTTTTTTCTCACAGTTGAGAAACTACGAAACTAATTCAGTAATTTTTCCCTCATCTTCCCTTTTCCATCCCATACCTGCTGCTGCTGCTGCTGCTGCTATACACGGTCGAGTCAGTTCTGACTCATAGCGACCCTGTGTAGGGTTTCCAAGGCTGTAACTTTTTATGGGAACAGAAAGCCTCATCTTTCTCCTGAGGAGCATCTGGTGGATTCAAATTGCTGACCTTGAGGTTAGCAGTGCAACATGTAACCCACTATGCTACCGGGACTCCCAGCCCAAACCTAGAAGTAATGCCATTTATATGTTTTTAAAGAAATGTTACAAATACAATTTATTGAGTTGCTATTATTCTTCTGGCATTTTACTTAGGCTGGAACCTTGGCCTCAGATAGGTCCATTCCACTTCTCTCTGTTTTCATTCAAAAGGAATGAGAGTCCTCTGTCCTGCATTCTTCCCACCTCCCACTGGGACAGTTTTGGGTCTTGAGGTATAATTCAAGGGTACAAGAAACATATCCCCACCCCCACCCCACACACACACTAGTTAATTCATCATTTCACAATTGTAGAGGAAGGATAGTGCTGTGGTTAAGCATTCAAACTCTGGAGTTGGACTGATTTATTTTCTAGTTCACCATTTTCCAGCTGTGTAATAGGAGTAAGTTACAAACCCCTTTAAGCCTCTGTTTCCTCATCTGTAAAATGAAGATTACATTTCAGAGTTATGAGGATCAAATGAGGTGGTGCATTTGGCATATCACTGCCCCTGAAGAGCTGTGACTCTAGTTTGCAATTACCATATAGTGAGTATAGTAGTACTATGAAGGAAGTTGTTGAAATTTTACACTTAAGAGTTTCATTCCTTGTGCAGGGTATATCATAAGTGGTTAATACCAAGGACTTTGAAGACAGACCTGAGTTTGAACCAAATTCTATCAGCTAATTGAGCTTGGGCAAATTCTTTAACTTCTCCAAATCTCAGTTCCTTTTAGGAGTAAAGTGCTCTGTTTGCATTTACATAGTAAATTGCATTGTAAGTACTCAATAAATGGTAACTATTACTATTATTGTTTCTATTTATAATAAAACCTGATCCCTATGAGATATATGTAGTTTATAGATGCTTACATTTTGTTCTGACAAAGAAATAGGAGACAAGGGAGTCTTGAATCAGTGAAGGAGCATGTAGGAGATTCAGACAATGATTCAAGGTCACTAAAAACAACCACACATCTCCCAGAAAGAGCCCTGCTTGTGGGTGCCATACTATCTTGTAATGCCTTTTCCACCTACAAGTCCAAATGGCCTCAGTGGAGAAACAGGAGGCTCAGGATTGGATAGAAGAGGGCCCCAGGTCTGCAGGCACGGAGTGTGCACTCAACTTCCAGGAATGAGGCTTGCCCACTGGAGATGGGAAGAGTCATTTCCTGCTGAGTATGTGTTCTTGCCTTCCCTGCTGCATAGTAGGCACCTGTTCCTTCACACTCAGCCCTGATGAATACCAAAAGAACTGCTACAACCATGTGGCACCCTCAGCTCCACCTCATAGGAGTTAGGGAAGTCCAAGAATTTTGAGGAATTTTAGAGGCACTTAAAGCATAAAAAAGGCACTGGTTCTGTGCCAGGATACAATGAGGCATCCTAGAGTCCAACAGAACAGAAGTTCTTGCATCCTCTGAGGTTGGATGTGAACTGCTCAGACAGAAACTGTACAAGTGACCTGTTTCATCTTCCTCAGGGTGCTACAAATCTTCTTCCCTGTTTCCTGATTCCCCTTTTCAGCAGCTTCAGTGCCCCATTCTCTGCCTTCAGCTACCCTCCTTCCAGGAGGATTCCTTCCAACACACTCAACCTTGTTAAAGCCACCAGTAACTGGACTCTTCCAGATGGCTCATATACTCATAGCCCAAGCCTGGAGGTAGAGGATGGTTCTGTGCCAAGCTGTAGCTGGGGAGAGACTGGCAAGAAAAGGAGACTGATCTGAGCTGGGAACAAACAGCCTCAAATCCAGGGCATTGGGCAAGAAGCACAGACAATGACATTTACTAAACTGCCACTTGGCAAGAGCCAAGTTTTTTTCCACTTTATTAACTCCCTTCAGGAGGGATAAGCCAGGGCTGGGATCCTGAGAGAAGCCCCTGGTAGGAACCTGGGCAGTCCCATACCAGGGTTGCCCAGCCTCCAAGGCCCATTTCTCCCATTTTCCCCTTTGTTCCAATCTGAAACACATAGTCATCTCTTCACTCACTGATTCTCTAACAGAGCAGCCTCCAAAGGTCTACCCCATCCCCTTCCTACTGCAGCCGACAGTCTGCCCTTTCTGGTTCTCTCCTTGGCAAACATCAGCTACAGCAGCTCTAGATTATTCCATACCATCTATAAAGAGCTTTATTCTGGTCTGTATAAGATATTCTTTTACAATTTGAGGCCAAATTGCCTTCCTTCAAAGATGCCTAGATGGAGACTGGTGAGAATTTAATTTCTCTCTGTTTATAGAGAATCCTCTGTCTCTGCTCCAACTGAATTTCCTGGCCTTTATTAACAACAACAAAAATTATCCTTTGTCCTTCCTATTATCACAATGTGGTCTTATGGGAAACGCTCAAGACTGTTCATCATTTCTAACTTTGTCTCCATTTCACTGCATGACTCTGGACAGTTACACCCCTACCCCTGGGGCCTCAGTTTCCCTCCCAGTTGTACTGTGAATGCTAATGGGATCACTTTCTAAGTACACTCTCAGCTCTTATAAATATATAGGAAGACATAGAAAGTATTAAAAATTAACTTGATTTTTAGTGAAAGGAAATTACAATACAGATTCTAAAACAGTAGATAACGCCCAAAATCTTGGAGTTGGGCTTTGGAACTCGATTTATTTATTTATTTTAGTGGCAGCTTTATTTTCAGATATTTTACCCAGAAAGATATTAAAGTGAATTTGCATCCCATGAGAAGGGAAGTGGTACAGCAAGGGCAGGTGGAGGCAGGGAGGTGAAGAGGAGACAGTGGGGAAAAGAGTGGTTTAAAAAGTAAATAATAGAGAATTGTTAGACTCCTAATTTCTTCAGGTCATTGTTCTCCAAACCATTTCCTGTCTTTCCACTCCCCAGATCTGGTGTTAACGACCTGGGACAATGGTCATGGGAGTGAGAGGATTCTTAAAATCTCAAGAGTTAAAAGGAACTGTAGAGATCATCCAGTCTAGCCAAATGGGACAGAAAAGAGAGAAAGAAAAAAGAATGTTAATTCCCCAGAAACAATTAAAAAAAAAAAAAGAACAGTTGTTATGTGTGTGTGTATGGCAGGGAGGGAAGAAGGGAGTTGTGGTTGAATGTTAAGGGTTTTGTTCCATTTGTTTTCCCATGGTTGTGATTTTTTTTTCCCCCCATGGTTGTGATTTAAGGTAGGGGTGGCCCTTTGCATTTCTGGTGTTATGGGATAATGCACTAAACCACAAGGTCAATTTGAACCATAAGGTTGGTGGTTAAAATTCACCAGCTGCTCCTTGGAAACCCTTTATAGGGTCACTATGAGTCAGAACCAACTCAACAGCACTTAATAACAAAAACAACAACAACAAAGATTATTGATGTACAGCTGATCCACCCAGTGTGCAAAGGCTCTGTAGCTAGAAAAATCACTCTGGAAGAGGTGCTATTAAACTTCAGGAAAATGGACATCCTTCACCTAAGTATTTCTTCCATCTGAATATACATACACTTTGGGACCACTGCTCCTGTTCTTTTTCACTGAGCAGACAGGAGCCACTCTCTGAGACCAAAGCTCCCCAGCTCTGTGATGCATGGATAAAACCCTTTATCTCCCTTGTCCTTCTGCTTGCCTGCCCCCAAACAGGGTCTTTGCCTCACTAAGATCATGGGGCTGGGAAACAGCTCGCTCCCAGCTCTCAATGCCTTTTTCTTTTTGAAAGAGCCATTGAAAATGCTACTTGGAATGGGAATTGGGTGGAGAGAGAAGGGGAGGGGGAAGGAGGGAATGTTAAACTCTGGTCTTTCATGAAGAATCAAATAGTATTCAGGAGGTGTTGTGGCTGCAGACTTGGGCTTCACAAAGGGCCGCCTGGATGGTGATGGGCATTCTGCCCACGTAAAATGGCCAAAGGTAAAGGAGGGTATCAGAAACAAAACATTCGTTTGAGGAGGGATTTTAAGAAAGAAATTATTTAAAAGGTTATTAAAAGAAGTTGCCAAAGAACTAGGTACAGAGCATTGGGACTTAAATTAGGAAGCACTTGCTATAATGGGTGAGTTGGGGAACAAAGTTTTAAACAAGTAATCAGAAACCCTAAATTACAATGTTGTAATCAATGTTATTCTTTATTAATAAAGGTCTTCATTTTTTAAATCAAAATGAAATTTTGATTTAAAATTTCAGTCTCTCCCAGTAATCCTTCTATATAGAAAGTTAGAATTATATATTTAAATATATATATGTTTAATTAGCTACTCCGTACTCAATGATGGTCCTAGAAATAGATACCAAATCTAGTTAACATTTCATTATTTATACAAATGGAGGGTAATAGTGGCCCAGATAATCTGAAAGTTCTTTCTCTATCAGTGCTGCCCAATAGAACTTTCTATGATGAATGAAACATTTTATATCTGTGCTGTCCAACATGATAGCCACAAACCACATGTGGCTATTAACCACAAAATATGGCTAATGTGACCGAGGAATCACATTTTTAAATGTATTTAATTGTAGTGAATTTCAATTAAAATTTACACAGACACGTAGCTATTGGATACTCTTTCAGATAGCTCAATTCTGAGAATTTTGGAAGGCTTTTGATTTTCTTTTTCATGAAAGATAATTGCTCCGCTATTAAATGATTGGTTAGTGGCTGGAACCCATCATCCACCCCATGGGATAAAGATGTGGCAGTCTGCCTCCATAAAGATTACAGTTTTGGAAACCTTATGAGGCAGCTCTATTCTATTCTATAAGGTTGCTATGAGTTGGAATCAACTTGACAGCAATGGGTTGTTGTGTGTGTGAAGTTTTTTAATAGTAAAACTAAGTTTACAGTCTCTAATTACATTCTGACTCATAGCAAAAGTAAGCAGCTCAGAACAATACTGGTTGGCAAGGGAAATCAGCCTATGATTTAAAACTGGCTGAGAGTACTTTCCACATATTTAATCAGGAGCTGACAGTATGGGTGAACTTACAATACTCACAATTATGGGTTTATTAAGCAAGTGAACAGAGTACAATTCAGGATCAGGAAGAACTCACTATGCAGTAGTCCTTCAGTCAGGTATGCCTTGCTCTTGTCTTTGACCTCTCAGTCCTGTAACCCATCAGCCTCTGCCCTGCTTGGGCAAGTTTTACAAAGCTCCTTTAGCCAGTATGTAAATGCTCAAAGAGCACATTCTGCAAGCCGGCCTTCTGCCCATAGGCATTCAGCTGTACTTGGCCCATGGGTCGGGAAACCCACAGTTGCTCTGTCTCTCCATGCCACCATTTTTCCAGGTAGGACTATCTCAAGGTCCACTCTTGGCTCTCTTTTTTTAATGGTCTTGAGATCATCTTTCCTGCTTCTGAGATGGCTCCTTTTAAGACTAGTGGGATGGCAAAACAAGCCAATTCTGACATTAGAGTTCTGTACACCTTATTTGCATGGTGTGGCTCTGTGGGTTAATACGTTGGACTGCAAGATTGGTTTGAGCCACAAGGTCGGCAGTTCAAGCTCACCAGCCACAAGGTCGCTGTGGGTCAGAACCGACTTGACAGCAATTAACAACTCAATCATTTGGTGGAAATTAAAAAGATTTTGCATAGAACAGCCATGTCAATGAAATTTACGATCCCACACCCCCACTTGCCATATATTATTTGTTGTTTTCAAGTACCGTCGAGTCGATTCCACCCCATAGCAACCCTGTATAGGGTTTCCAAGGAGCAGTTGGTGAGCTTGAACCGCCAACCTTGCAGTTTAAACGGCTTTGCAGTCTGGTGCATTAACCCACAGCGCCACACCAGGACTCCTATATTATGGGTAAGGATAAAATGTCAGACTTCCATGTAGCAGAGATAAACCATGAAACTTTTCTTTAAAGTCTATTTCCTCTGTACTTTAATTTCAAAAGTCTACTTTAATTTTAGTTATATTTTATGCTCTATGAAAGACATTTCCAAATGGCACTGATATGAAATATGTTGTTTTTGTTAAGTGCCACTGAATCAGTTCTGACTCATAGTGACCTTGTATTGTTGGGTTTCCAAGGAGCAGCTGGTAGATTTGAACTGCTGACCTTGCAATTAGCAGTCCAGTGCTTATCCTACAACAACTTAAGAAATTTTTGAACCATGTAAAATGTTATCATAGTTTCATCCCTTGAGATCATTTAAGGTCTATAATGAAAACACAGATTTAAAGTAAGTCATAAAGTTATTACCTTGTTTATTCATTGGTGTGCTAACTACCTTGGTGGTAACATGCCATGGAGTTGGTTCCAACTCATAGTGACCCTGCATAGGATTTCTGAGGCTGTAAATCTTTACAGGAGCTGAAAGCCTCATTTTTTTTTTTTTGAATGGTTGGTAGTTTCAAATCACTGATCTTGAGGTTAGCAGCCCAACTCAAAACCACTACGCTATAAGAGCTTTTTGCTAACTGCCTTCATTGCTACTATTCTCTCCTAAACAGCTGAGCAGATGGCTTAATGATCAGTCTGTGAGTTTCTTGAGTTTAGGACTCCTTATTGTTCAACTTTACAGGGCTAGCCCCTAGCAGAGGGTCTAGCACTTAATAGGTAACAAGTCATTTTTGAGGATATATGGAATATATAAGGTTAATGACAAGTAAAGTTTATGTATGCCCCAATCTAAGAAGAATTCCTGGAGTAGGTGACATTTCTTTGGGACTTTGAACAATGCAAGGAATAAGGTTTGATGGTTTTTGTTGTGAAGTGCCGTCAAGTTGGTTCCAACTCATAGCAATCCTGGATAGAGTTTCTGAGGAGTGGTTGGTCAGTTTGAACTACCAACCTTGTGGTTTAAACCAACTTTGCAGTGCAGGACATTAACCCACAGTACCACACCAGGTTTGATAGTAGGGGGGTGATTTTATCTCAAATTCATTATGTCTGCAATTACACAAGTCCAACCACCTTTTTTTCCTTATTGCAGACTCACCCCCACTTCCAAAGCTAAAAACACAAGAAAAAATTTGTCATCTCCTCCCTCTTCCCTACGCTTTACATCCAATTAGCCACCCAAAGCTAGAAAATCCTGATAATTTTTCTTCAAAAATATCTTTCCCTCATCTACATTCCTTTGCTATGGCCCGAAAAGTCTTCCTTGGCTTACTGAAACCGCCTCTTAACTGAGCTCTCTGACTTTGCTCTTTCTCTACTTAAGGTCATTCCTCAGCTTTCATTAAAATAAATAAGAATAACAGCAATTATAATAACAACTATGTCATTCCTGTGTGTACAGACCTCCCCTTGTCTGTGTGTTTCACCTCTGCTGTTTTGTTAGGGTGCCCCAAGGCCCTTCACCCTAGCCTCATCTACCTCTCCAAGACTATCCCTCCTGTCAGGCACCTACCCAGCTTTTACTATTCTCTCAGTTGTGTCCTTTAAGGCCTCTGTGCCTTTGTGTCAGTCATTCCTGTCCTTTTTTTTTTTTTTTTTAATGCTTTATTGTGGATTATGTGATAGTTTACATGGGAGAACATTAGTTTTACATTCATCCTATCGTATATCGTTTCATTGCCATGATTATAATCCCTTCCATGCAT